TTATTTGCAATAGTGAATTTTTGCAGTGTTCCGATATTAGGGTTACAGACACAAGAGTGATTTGTTGGAAAATTTCAATGTAATTTGTATGTATTGCTACATATAATTTCTTCTGTGTTATATATGTGCCAGCATCATGTAGCAGTAGGGGCTACTATACTTCATGGAAATTCCAAATGTGCCCTGGCAGACAGGTCCACTGTAGCCCCGTTAGGGTCCTTTCAGTATGCAGGCTCCTTTCAATATGCCGGCTTTGTCAGTAGCAACTCACACCATTAGTGATGAGAAGGTAGGAAATGCTCATTTCCAAAGTCAGTTTGATAAGGAGGAAGTAGTCAGCAGACTAAAATAATGTTTTTTCCACGTTTAATTACCAATTTCTTTTACTTATTTTTAATGCAATTTGGGAAGGTAAAGGAATGTTAGTCATCCTTTTTTAATATTTCACTTTAAGATGTTTGATAAAAGTTGAAATCTGAAAAGTCTTAAAAAATTAAATTGACTTTAGAGCGGGTTTTAAAACTGAATTCTAATAGAGTAATTTCTTATGTTCTTTTGTTACTTGATAGGCTAGTGGCCAGTGTTTTCCAGACTTGTATTTGGAGTAATTTTAAAAGTGTTGCTATGAAGACTTTTGGAAGTGTCTTCAACAATGGCTGGAGAAAGATTATTGACCCTGGATGTCAGGTAAGCTTATTTTATTGGCATCTATATATTTTTTTTCTTGAGGAGTGAAAGATTTTCACAGGCAGAGAAAGCTTTTCATGTTGGAAAGCATCGAAAAATGCAGTTACTTCAGGGCTAAGTAGATTTTCTGACTGTCTTATTGAGTTCTTGCTCTGAATTTCTCCTGGTCTTTAATCAAAATCCCTATTTTGTCCATGAACAGATTCTTTGGGTTCCTCTTAAGTATGTGTACTGGAGATGGATGCCAGCCACCGTATTTGCTCTTTTGATGTGGTGCCTAGTCATTTATGACCTGCAGGACTAGCATCGAGAATTGATATTCCAGGTCACTGCTGGACTTTGACCAATCTACATCACACCCAGGAGGTGCCATTTGCTTTTTTAAAAATCATCTCTGGAGAGCTTTTTTCTATTTAAAATGTAGGCTAGTGCTGGGCCACTGCTGTTTTCGTACTTTTTAAAAACTAATAAAGGGTTGTTGCTGGATGACTACCTAGATCTCTTTTTGAAATATGTATGTTCAAGTGATTAAAGTCTGTATTTTATACATTTCCTGTTTCACAAGGAAAAGGGTTTTTTTAAGGGAATTTGGGAAGGTAACAGAAGGAATGCTGGTCATCCTTTTTAATATTTCACTTTAAGATGTTTGATAAAAGTTGAAATCTGAAAAGTTTTAAAAAAATAAAATTGATTTTTTCAAATCATTTGGTTTTGTTACTTGCTTCCTTTCATGAGTGCTGGGCACAATCCCTCCTGCCCACAGCACCTGTTGAATTCATCTCTCTGTATTTGTGTGTGAATTGCTTATGTTTAAGGAACTGGTTCCAATCCAAAGCACTGGAGAGATTTCAGATTCCATTCTGATTCACTGAAAAAAGCTTTGCTGAATTGGAATTTGGGCTTTGTTTGATTCCCTGTTCTTATTCATGAATATCGAAGCCATCTCTTTGATCAGTAGATACCTGGTATCTGAAGAAGTGGGCAGTGACTCATGAAAACTCATACCCTACCCCAAATTTTGTTAGTCATTGGGTGTGTTCAGACGGGCCGGGGCCGTTTAGTCCACTTTCGGCACACTACAGTAACGGATTTTATATCCACGTTCACACACCCAACATCTGCGCACCATCCCCAGCCGTCACTTTCCGGCTCAAACCCCCTTTAAAATGGAGTATTTTGTTGCCAGGTCCCCAAGTGGTGTTTTCCCGATTCTCTGGTTCTAGCCTCACTTTTCTTACGTCTGATCACTCCTGCGGTGTCGAGCCACTTCCGCTCGGAAGCCCAAGGCTTCCGCTCGTCGCCCGCCATTTTATTTTAGCGTCGGCGGTATGCGCACAGGCAGAGCTCCGCTCCCGCATTATTAAAAACAATGTTTAAATGGTGCCTAGTTTTGTTGGTTAGACGAGTTTGAGATCTCACGGAGGCCAGTTTCGGAGTAAAAGTTCCTTTAAAGTTTAAAGGGAAGTGTTACAGCAGTTGGGTTGAAGTGGAAATCGGTGTTCTGCGCACGTGCAAAAATTTTAATTCTACAGATGGCCACCTGTGCACATGCCCAAACTGAGGGAAAGAAAAAAAACACCAACGCACGCTCCCGCATGTGGACTGCGGGGAGCGATGTGGCTGCGCAGCGATCCGGAACGAGGTGAGTGTCATCGCAATTCTCCAGGTTAAAAAAAACACGCGTTGGGACCGAAGCAATTTAAACTGCTCCCAGCACGCCGTCTGACCGCACCCTTTAAGGTGCTACTGGACTCTTACTCTTTTCTACTGCTACAAACAGACTAACAGGGCTACCCATCTTGATCTATCTCTTTGATCAGTTAGCACCTCTCACGGACACAGAGTACATCCCATCACTTACTCCAGAGAAAGGAATATGTAGACACAGGAGGCATAATCAGGGAGATTAAGCTCCCATTTATTGTGGGCCCAGGTGCCAGGTTGCCATGGCACCAGAAATTTAACTGTGGCACCTAGTATTTTCAACCGTGATTTTATTATAGTGACTCTTTGAGATCATCAGCAGAGATACAAAGCTTACTTACCATTTCACATCAAAATGTTTCCTTGTACGACAAAAAATGTTAGCATGAAGTGCTTGTCTTTATGATCTGAAAAAGGATCCAATCTATATCGAAACTCTGTTTATATTATTAACACTACGCCAACTATCTATAGCGTTACATTTAAAATATTAAGCATACATGCCTAGAAGTCTGTGCCATTGAACTCAAGGCACATTTCCAGGTAGACATCCCTGAGGTGAGAATTAGATATTTACATAAAAACAGCCTTTCAGAATAACAGTGTGATTGAAGGTGAACATCCAGGTTGTTTGTGGAAGAAGGTCTGATGAACCAGAGGTACTAGGTGACCTCTATATGAAATATATGCTTGGAATTGACTTTATAAAAACATCATATAAATTAGCTGTTTCCTAATGCCTTGGTCATATAACTAAGTGCTACAGAGAACCCAAGACAAGGAGGAAGTTGGACTTCCCAATGAATGGGAATAATGGAAGCAAGAAGTATTCCAGGGTTTTACCTTTTCTCAGTTATCATGAATGTGATATATCTAAATATGAATCATATTAACAGAAAACTCATTACCTGTATTCTCCTTGTAAATGTCATATTTCACTTTTATAAGCAACACTAGTTTCTTCCCCACAGTCCACCAACCACTGTCTGACTGATAACTTACTGTCAAACTAAATATTATGGAGAAGCCTTACCTGCCATGAGTTTGCCATCACCATTTAAAAGTAAATTTAAAATGCTGCAAAGGCCTGATTATGATTGAGATCTTGGTGCAGAGTTCCCCTCCTCCTGTGCCTTTTCAAGTGTCAGAAGAGCTCTCTCTGTGTGTGTGTGTGTGTGTGTGTGAGAGAGAGAGAGCGCAACTGTTTTGCACTTTAAAATGGTGGCAACAAACTAGTGGCAGCCACAAGTTCTCCATCACATTTAGTTGGCCCTTATTCTGCTCTGCCAAATGCTTGCTGGGTGGTAGGGTTTAAATCCAAAGGCAGTCACAAAGCTCACCTGAATTTTCTCTTGGCCTAACATACTTATGCAGCAGGGGGGAGACTTCATAGTTTTGGATAGGGGGTGCCTGTGGCAGTCCTAGGAAGGGGCAGGGGCCAAGCCTTGGATCAAAGACCAAGATCCCTAAAAGAAAAACCAGACCCTTCCTTGTTATATAAAAGAAACCTAGAATTACTGATAATGAGAGTATCCCTTAGAAGAAACAGTCTATATTCCAATGCAAAAGTTCTGAATTAGAACTCATCAGATTATATACCAGTTTAAACAGATTTGGGGTTCCTACACCAACTATAGTTGCTAATAGTTCAGCAGGTGAAACCCCTCCCCCCTCTGAGCATGCCAGTTGGTAATCATGTTGTAGTCATATCATCATGCTGATTCTCCCTGTCATCCTCATGCTTCACACTAAATTAGATAATGTTTACCTCTGCATCCTACAGGTCAGAACCTGAGAGCTTAGGAAACCACTGCCAGTCAAGAATACTCAACACTGACCTTGATAGATCAAAAGTCTTGCTTAGTATAAATACTAAGGAATGTTCCCACCAATGCTACTCCTGGAAGGTTGAAGCAGGACCTCCATAGGAAGGGGAAATTGTTAAAAACCTCTCACACAAACCCCTTTCCACTGGCAGAAAACAATCTTTGGATTTACCCCAAAATTGGTTAGACAGGGATTATATGATAAAGATCTTACTCTGCCTCAAGACAGGAAGACAGTAGCCACTTCTTTAGAAAATGTTGTCCCTGTATAGATGGAAAACTGACTTTGTTAGATGCACATTTTCAAAGGTTAAATTGAACTATGAATATCTGAAGGTCCAAAAAGGCTGAGAAAGTTACTATTATCCATAGAGACTGTGCCATGACTTACAGCAACTGCATAATCTGAGATATTATTCTAGGTGGAACAGTTGCATCCAAAGTTACTACTACCAAACAACAAAACCAACCATAGCGGTACTGCGTTGGAGCCAGCCAGTTTTGCCATGGTGAAGAAGTGAGGAATTCCCTTTGACTACCCAAAAACGCTATGCTAGTGGAACCTGCATGTGGGACGGAGGCTGGAATAAAGATGGGATTTGAGCACGATTGAGTGAAAAATCTGGATGGATGCAAAACCCATTTTTCTGTAATTCTTCAGATGCATCCAATGGACTGTAAGACCAATTAAATTATGCTTTTAATCTCATGAATTCTTAATAGGCAAAATGAGATATTGAACAGAAGTCGTCAGAAGTCCTCACAAATATTTGGTTTATTTAAAATGATCAACAAGGACAGCTAAATTTACATGTATAACCTTTCTAAAGCCTTGTCACTGGAACCACGATATTAGAAGGCTTCCTGGGGGCAAGTCTTTCAGCTTGAAGGACCAGGACCCATGATGTCATTTGATGGTCCTTATCTTCATGGTAGCATGCAACTTAACCACATGACTTCTGTGTGCAGCTCTGCCTGGAGATGGGATGCCATCACATTAGTTCTCTGTTCACAGACTATGACAGGGCCCACTGAAGTCCCCCCGCAGTCATGACTCCCATTCACGGCTGTAGCCAGTGGTGGGGGTTTAGGGGCTGAGCCCCCCTCCCCACAATTAGGGTGGAGTCCCACCGCAGCAGCAGCTTTCCTCCCCCACCCTCCAGTCTTCACCAGCCAGCGAGCCAGTTTGTCAGCTCTCTGAAGCTTCCTGGCTGGCGCAGACACCGTGAGGTGGCAGGGTGGGCCATTAGAGAATGGCCCGCCCAGGCACCTCACCTTGTCTTTGCAAGTCAGGCTGTTGACTCTCCATGGCCTGTCTCGCTGGCTGGCAAAAACAGAGAGGGAGGACGAGAGTAACTCGTAGTGATGTCACTACTGACATCACCGCATGTGTGGAGGCAGAACCCCCCCCCCCCAAGCCCCAAGGTGAATTTCCTGGCTACGGAGCTGCTTCCATTTAACATTAAGCAGGGCCGAGAAGCAGAATCCATTGTGAAAACTTTTTTTTACAGACACCTCTATATTTCTTCTTTTTCATCTTCTCCTAAAGCATCAATATTTTTATAGAATTTCCAGGCTCTCATATTGCAGTTTCTGAGTATTGCTCCAAGCTGTCTTCCAGGCCCCATTTCATAAGTGAAAGGAAACCGTACTCCTTTTTTCCTTTCATAAATGGCATGCATTGTCTGTTCCCATTTCACTGGCGAAATAAGCTGCTTTGCTAACAAATGCTTGATCTGCTTCGGTTGTGTGTATCTCTGGCTGGTCACATTTGAATAGACAGGGATGAGAGGTTTCTGAATGCTGATTAACTGAAGGGCTTCAGATAAAGGTTCAACTACTGGCTCCATAAGTCGAGTATGAAAAGCTCCACTGACTGGCAACATTTTCACGCGTGCAAATGAGTATTTTTTGGAATTTTGTTGTAGAAACTCCAATGCCTGTAAGATGGAAAAATATTATTTCGCTTAATCTAAATTTGTTATTAATGTATCATTACCAACACTGTAAATGCAAGCTGTCTATGGGCGTTAAAAGAGGCCTGAAAAACATAAATCTTAATAACAGTGGTGACTGAAGTAATAGTACATTTGGCTGCTCGTGATTATGTTTGACAGGGCCAAAGTGACTGGCTTATTCTCAGTTTTATTAAGAAAACTGAACTTAAGGTCAAGGATAAGAACAAAAATAAAGAGCAAACAAGTGGGCCACATTTGGTCCATTTGGCTTTCAAGATACTTTACATTCACAGGTCATTAAATATTGTCAATAGGAGCAGTGTTCCCTCTAAGCTGTTAGTGTGAGCTAGCTCACAGTTTTTTTAGCCGCCAGCTCACACATTTTTGTCTTAGCTCAGGAAGGATGGCTCCAGAGCAAACTAATTTATGCAGCAGCCAGATGGCTCACTCACAACTTTAACGCCAGTAGCTCACAAAATAGAATTTTTACTCACAAGACTCCATAGCTTAGAGGGAACATTGAATAGGACAGCAGCAAAATGAGCACATCATCGGAACACATAACACTAACATGAACTAGTTCCTGAGCTCAATTCAAGGTGCTGATTCTTCACTTTAGAAGCACTGAACAGCCTGGACCCATGTTACAAAGAGAGTTTTCAAATTGTTAAGCATTTTTAAACACTTCATGAAGGTTTACATGATGGCATGTCTCTTAGTCATCTGGGGGCTGTCTGCATGCAAAGAAACAGGATAAAAATACATGAAAACAAGCATGCAACTTTTAACCTAAAAAAACAGAACTGTAAATAAAACAGACTGTGTATTAGGTTAATATGCTCTGGTTTCTCTTCAGATCACACAAAATAGACAGCAAAAACAAATCACTGTTTTGTTTTGGTCTCTCTATATTTGTCACTGTCACTGATACCAATGAAAATTCCATTTCTAAAATAATGAAACATGATTCTGAAATAATACCTGCAAGTGTCCTGCAATGACTCTGCTATCAGGAAACAGGTAGTTTGAAACTTCACATATAGGATCTTCTATGCCCACTGATTTACAATGTTTGCGAGCATCTATGCAGGCAGCAACATAATCTGAATTATGCTGACCAATAACAGACAGCATTCCACTGGGAACAGTTTCTGATGCCTCTTGCATGGCTTCAGCACGTACCTTTACTGCATATAAAGCTAAAAAAGAAGAAAATCTAAGTTTAAGAAACCTCAAAGAAAAACTTGTTCATGTCATGTAAAACAATTGGGATTTCAACGAAAAACTGCTGCAACTTCCAAATCCTAATAGCTGCCAGTATATAGAGGAAAAAGTCAAAAACTCAGTAACATTGTATCACAGTATGGTATTCTATGATTATTTTCAATTCAAACTTTCTACATTGGTATGTAAATAAACTGAGCCACAATCTGCCTGGAAGCAACATTTACTTATATTTTAAGACATTTACTTATAGGGTGCACTAACTCTGAATTAATTTTCAGAATGCAGCTAAAGGATATACATATAAGCAACTTTACACCTTTATTTTGTGATTACGGAAGATCAACTTTATTTTCACAGTACTAACAACTAAATCCATGCCAGCAAACAAGCACACTGACTAACAAGCCAGAGCAAAACAATGTGATACTCATACTAACATTACAATGTTACATAAGGGGAAGCATTTAACATGCTAGTGCATGCATGCTTTCTTAATACCTTCTGCATACTCTATAGCTCCTGCAAAAACAAGAGCTGCATATTCTCCAATGCTGAATCCAGCAGCTGCAACGCAGTTCTCAATTACCTGAAGAAATCAGATTAAGACATTTCAGAATGGGAAAAAACATCTTCCTAAAACTTAAATCTGACATTCCTAGAGACAGGTGGTCAATTGGAAAGCTTCATCCTTTGTACTCACTGAATCTGATACTCTTCTGCCCAGTTTCAAGAGCTAAGGAGTAAGCTTTCTCACACTGAGCCTTCAGTACTATTCCCAGGCCAGGTATTTAATTTCTAACATTTGAAGAGTTAGGGCTCAAAACTTGCTCAGAAGCCACAAGTTTTTGTTTGGAAGCTAGCTTTCCTAAATCCAGATTTGGGACTGAGAGTGCTCTCATTACTCAAATGCATAGGTTGCCAATTGGCTTGAAGAAAAATAACCTGCCCCTTTAAGAGAGGGAGAATGTGTTGAAATGCAACCTTTTGCAATATGAAGGGCAACCTGCTCTAATGTGTTGAAGTTGGCAGTTGAAACTTTTTATGACATGAAAGAAAATAACATTCCTTTAAGCCTCTATTAAAAATGAAGGATAACTATCTGAAACTGCTCCAGGAAATTAAGAAAGATCTAGAAAAATGGAAATGCCTTCATTTATCCCTGATGGGAAGGATTGCATACTGCCATGCATTATTTTTTATACCAGACTATTCCTGTTTGTATTAATCGTTCTTTTTTAAAAGATATGAATAACATAATATCTAAGTTTATTTGGCAAGGAAAAAAGCCAAGAATTAAATTGAAAGCGTTACAAGACTTTGAAGGAAATGCAGGCTTTGCCTTACCGGACTGGAGAACATACTATAAAGCATCTTGTTTGGTTTGGATGAGAGAGTGGATTTAGCCTTAGAAGGACACGATTTAAAGCTAGGATGGCATGGTTTTGTTTGGTATGGGAAAGCAGCTAGGCATAAATACTTTAAAAATCACCTGATAAAGTCTTTATTAACAACTTGGGGGGAAAGCCTACCTTTGGTATTCTCTAAAATTCCAAGATGGGGCTCACACCCCTTGAAGCTTTTTCACAACCAAACTTAATTTCATTAGATTAAATTCTTAGATATGAAGATCTTTTAGATGATAAAGGATCTCTAAAAATAAAGGAAGAACTAATAAGGCAAGGGGTTAATCTGGATTGGTGGGCAAGGTTCCAAACTGAATCTAGATGTGTAAAAAACAGAAAATCTGGTTTTTATTCTGAACTATGTGCATTTGAAAAATTGTTATGTACATCCAATGATAAGTTGATTAAGAAAATGCATGTATTTTTGATGCAAATGAAAATGGAAGACGAAGTGGTTAAAGACTGGATGGTGAAATGGATGCAAAATCTATGTTATAATATCAATCTTGCACAGTGGAGTGAACTGTGGAAAGTGATCCTCTTGCCGATGTTCTTTAACATCTATATGCGCCCCCTCACCCAGTTAGTCAGGAGTTATGGGCTGCTCCTCCAACTGCTAATAAAATAAAACTGTACACCTGTTTGGAGTGGGGAGGGTTTCCGTTTTCTCATGGTAAAGATCAAAGTACCATAGTACACCAAATTAAGCCCTGCTTAAAACATACAGTCCGGAGAATAGGACAGTGAGAAAACAGTGGACTTTGGGAAAGGGCACGGCAGACACAAAGGTTCCTTGCCATTTCAGCCTTCCCTCTATAAAGAAAAAGGGACACCACCACCCCCCTGCACACGCACACACTTTCTTCCCGCGGCCTGTCCTCTATGCTACTAACAGAGGTGAAGCGTTTCCCCCACCCAGAGAGCCCACGAAGCCCGACCGTTCCTGACATCCTACCAGGAGCCCAAGCAGACACTTTCTGTTGAAAAATTGTTATGTACATCCAATGATGAGTTGATTAAGAAAATGCATGTATTTTTGATGCAAATGAAAACTGAAGTGGTTAAAGAATGGATGGTGAAATGGATGCAACAAGAATCGCCTCTGCCTGTCCGGTTAAAAAAGAGTCCATGGCTGCCTCCTTCCCGGCGTCCCTGGGGTCCCCGGTGGGTTTGACCGTCAGGAGGCCACCGCAAGAGACCCCGCCTTCCCGACCACGAGCCGCACGCCTCCCGCCTAGTCTCACCGCTGGTTGCTGGTGGTGCAGCTTCTCTACGGCGGCCAGCGAGCAGACGAACACGGCGGGCTGGCTGCGCACCGTGCGGTCGAGCTCGGCGCGTGGCCCGCTCGAGCACAAGCCCAGCAGGTCGTAGCCTAGCACGCGCTCAGCTACCCGGAACAGCTCGCGCGCGGCAGAATAGCGCAGCAGCTCCCGGCCCATGCCCACGTACTGGCTGCCTTGCCCGGGGAAAAGCAGTACTGAGCCTTCTTCAGGGGCCCGCTTCGCCGCCGTCGCTTCTTCCTCCTCCTCCTTCTCCTCCATCACCGTCGCGCTCTGGAGCAGCTGCTCCGGCGGTATGTCGCCCAGCCAGGGAGGCACGCCGCCTTGGCAAAGCCACCGCCTAGCTATCGCGGCCCTCAGCTTCTGGCCTGCCATGGCAGCCATTGCACGTGAGGTTTAGCAGTGGGTGCTAGGCGACGGAACCGGAAAACCTAGCGGAGGGTCAGAGGCTTCCCCCGCAAGAAAAACCGTTGCGCCTCTCTTCAGACTAGCAGGGCGGGGTCGGTTTCGTGCGGTCGCGGGCTTTTCTGCTTTACAGGGGTGTGTGGCGTCAAGGGTAAACCCTGCTCAGATTTAAAGGTCTCCTTTTTTAATCTTTATTTGAACGCCACAAAGCACTTAGTACTTGGGAGTCATATTGGGCAAATGGAGTAGAAATCTCGGGGGGAGGGGGCTGTCCTTCCGCCCGTTCTTTTTTTTTGTACGCGATGAAGGCAGCAAGTTGCCAGTAGGATTACAAGATCCAAAGCCAGGGAAACAGCCTCCGAGTTCAGCACTTTTTATTTATTTATTTATTGGCATTCGGGTCCTTAAATTTTTAGATTTGTATGAAATCACTTTGGAGTATGAAGCTAGAAATTGGTTTGATTTTATAAATGGGTTTCTTCCACTTTACATTAGCAAAATTCACATATACAGCAAATAGCAGATAAGAGGCTATCAAAGATGTTTAAGCTGGCTGCCTTGCCCGGGAAAAAGCAGTACTGAGCCTTCTTCAGGGGCCCGCTTCGCCGCCGTCGCTTCTTCCTCCTCCTCCTTCTCCTCCATCACCGTCGCGCTCTGGAGCAGCTGCTCCGGCGGTATGTCGCCCAGCCAGGGAGGCACGCCGCCTTGGCAAAGCCACCGCCTAGCTATCGCGGCCCTCAGCTTCTGGCCTGCCATGGCAGCCATTGCACGTGAGGTTTAGCAGTGGGTGCTAGGCGACGGAACCGGAAAACCTAGCGGAGGGTCAGAGGCTTCCCCCGCAAGAAAAACCGTTGCGCCTCTCTTCAGACTAGCAGGGCGGGGTCGGTTTCGTGCGGTCGCGGGCTTTTCTGCTTTACAGGGGTGTGTGGCGTCAAGGGTAAACCCTGCTCAGATTTAAAGGTCTCCTTTTTTAATCTTTATTTGAACGCCACAAAGCACTTAGTACTTGGGAGTCATATTGGGCAAATGGAGTAGAAATCTCGGGGGGAGGGGGCTGTCCTTCCGCCCGTTCTTTTTTTTTGTACGCGATGAAGGCAGCAAGTTGCCAGTAGGATTACAAGATCCAAAGCCAGGGAAACAGCCTCCGAGTTCAGCACTTTTTATTTATTTATTTATTGGCATTCGGGTCCTTAAATTTTTAGATTTGTATGAAATCACTTTGGAGTATGAAGCTAGAAATTGGTTTGATTTTATAAATGGGTTTCTTCCACTTTACATTAGCAAAATTCACATATACAGCAAATAGCAGATAAGAGGCTATCAAAGATGTTTAAGTACCGAGTCAGTGGCATTTACTTCCGCATAAGTGTGTTTTCTGCTAAATTTCTACATTAGCTCAGCTAATAAAGAGAGGGCAGCAACAGAAACTGGGACTGGACATACAGTTTCCCTACCAGTAATATTACCCAACTGGCACAAGATATAGACAAGATGCCTAAATATCATGGCCTAAAACATCTATTTTTCTTCTCCCCGTTTTTTTTAAAAGCCAGCTTGACAATGAGTTCTAGAAAACAAAATGTTTGCACAGTGTTTGGTTTTAATAAATGATTGTAACATTATCTGTTTTTGGATTTTGCATGGTTAGGTAATGGGGAAATTTTCCAGAGAGCCCAACTGATGATACTTGATGACATTCAGATTCCTGAACACTCAGTGGAAGGTCAGTTTAGATGTCTGCCCCAGGTGGCTAATAGATCCAGAGGGTTTCCAGACATCTTTTGGAGATTTTCTGATCAACAAGGCTGGTACATCTGTTGCCACATTGGTTGCTATGGGGAATGCGGAGATGACTCAGGCAGTGAACACTATGGGTCTGGAGTGCCCTCTCCCCTCCCTTGGAACCTGGAATTCCCTAGACTTTGCTAAGGAGTTTAGAATGATGAAATGGTTGGGCAGATGGTTAGAATGCTGGTGGGAAAAAGCTCTACGGGAATATTACTGAAGATATCTGCTACATTCTTGATGCCAGCATTGACTGAATTCTTTGGACATTATATTGGATTTACTTTGATTTCTTTATATTCATGGATTATTAGTGGTTAAAGTGATGCTCCTTTGCAGGCTTAATACATTTTGTTGGAGTTGTTTCCAGTGTAATATTATTTTACCAGCTAATAGGAGATGAGTTAATAAATCCTTCCTCGATTCTGGGATATTTAACTCTGGCCACAGATTTAGTAAAATAGACTCAAGTGTATTTGGAATTAAAATTCCTGTCATGTCTTTAATTTTTTTGATAATATTTTCCCAATATGCATTTACTACTTTGCAACCCCACCAACAGTGGAGAAACATTCCAGTTTCACCACATTTCTTCTAACATTCCGAATTAGTTTGTTTTTATACAGCTTATATGGCGTTAAATACCACCTGGTAATTAGTTTATATTGTTGCCAACAGATAGCTGTAGATCTAGATTTAAGCAAGGGAGTGCTCCTGTCATGATCTGGGCTGTGCCACCGGAGGCTTAGTAGGCCCAGGGAGCCTGGCTAGCAGTTGGGGAGGCTGGGCCTACAAACCCCAGAAGCTGGGAAATTTTGGCGCCAATTTTAGTCAATCACAAGCAAAGGGGACTTATAACAAAAGAGCTGGTACAGGAGAAGAGCTGTTCTTCTTCCCAGGGAACAGGCCCAGAAGGAAGGCTGCTGTGGGGAAGAAACCCACATCCTGAGGGAAGGGTGAGTAGTCTAATGCCACTTGAGATAGTGCGCTAGGGAGAGTATATTTAGACACGTTAGGGCATTTGATTTCTTTTCACCCACTTACTGTTATTATTCCTGCACCGTGGTTGTTTGACCTCCCATAAAATAAACCATTTTCATTGTTCACTCTGCCTGGTCCTCACACTCATTTCGGCTAAAAGGGAGGTCTAAAGGCTTGGGAGGGTACTCTGGGCCTTCTCAGGTGGCAGCGTCAGGTGACACCCCATCTAAGCCATGACATCTTGTTTTAAACTTAACACTTACTCTTCATAAGAACATAAGAGACGCCAATGTTGGATCAGGCCAAAGGCCCATCCAGTCCAACACTCTCACACAGTGGCCAAAAATACCAGGTGCCATCAGGAGGTCCACCAGTGGGGCCAGGACATTAGAAGCCCTCCCACTGTTGACCCTCCCCCCAAGCACCAAGAAGACAGAGCATCACTTGCCCAAGAGACCCTATCTATACCTTGTGGCTAATAGCCACTGATAGACCTCTGCTCCATATGTTTATCGAATTCCCTTTTGAAGCCGTCCATGCTTGTAGCCGCCACCACTTCCTATGGCAGTGAATTCCATGTGTTAAATCACTCTTTGGGTGAAGAAGTACTTCCTTTTATCTGTTCTAACCCTACCGCTCAGCAATTTCATGGAGTGCCCACAAGTTCTTGTATTGTGAGAAAGGGAGAAAAGTACCTCTTTCTCTACCTGCTCTATCCCATGCGTAATCTTATAAACCTCAATCATGTCACCCCTCAGTCGTCTTTTCTCCAAGCTAAAGAGCCCTAAGCGCTTTAACCTTTCCTCATAGGGAAAGTGTTCCAACCCTTTTATCATTCGAGTTGCCCTTTTCTGCACTTTTTCCAAAACGATAATATCCTTTTAAGGTGTGGTGACCAGAACTGCACACAGTATTCCAAATGAGGTCGCACCATTGATTTATATAGGGGCATTATGATATTGGCTGATCTCTTTTCAATACCCTTCCTACCATTTACCTATCATAAATCAATGTTTGATCTTGTATTACCTCCTCATGGGTTTGTTTTAGTTTTTGGATTTCCTCATGATGGGTTTGCTTAAGGTTTTGAATTTCTGTTTCACATTTTTGCTGACCAATGTAGTATACAACTATGAATCATTGAATGTTAGAGTTGGAAGGGACCTTGCAGGTCAACTAGTCCCAACCCCCTGCATTCTGCAGGAGCATAGCTGAAAGATAGCCCTACATACCTACAACATACTCGAAAGATGGTCATCCAGCCTCTGCTTGAAAACGTCCAGCGAAGGAACATCCACCACCTCCCGAGGCAGACTGTTCCACTGCTCAACCACTCTTACAGTTAGGAAGTTTCTCCTGATATCTAGCCGGTAACGACTCCCTTGTAAATTCCACCCATTAGATCTAGTCTTCCAATCCGGAGCAAGAGAGAATAGATCTGCTCCATCTTCTACATGACAGCCCTTCAAATACTTGAAGACTGCAATCATGTCCCCTCTAAGCCTTCTCTTTCCCAGGGTAAACAGAAATTACATCTTGTGATTTGGAAGTTATGCCTTTGTTGATAGCACCCCAAGATTGCATTAGCCTTTTTTGTCGCAGCATCACACTGGCTGCTCATATTTAACTTACGGTCCACCCATACCCCAAGGTCTTGTTCACACACACTGCTATTCAGAAGTGTATCCTCCATCCAGTATGCGAGTTCCTCATTTTAGTTACCCAGATGTAGAACTCAGCACTTATCCTTGTTAAATCACGTATTGTTCACATTGGCCCACTTTTCCAGCTTGTTCAGATATCGTTGAATTCTATCCCTATCTTCTGGTGTATTTGCTGCTGCTCTAAATTTGATGTCATCTGCAAATTTGGTGAGTAGCCTCTCCACACCCTCATCCAGATAATTTATGAAAATATTGAAAAGTACCAGGCCCCGTGGCACCCCACTGGACACCTCCCTCCATTCAGATGAAATGCCATTGACAACTATTCTTTGAGGGAGGGATTAGTAGAGCAGTCTAGTGCAGGGTTCACAACCTGGTTAAGATCACCTCCTATGAGTAGTTCGCCTTCTAGAAATTGTATTAAGTATGTGAGTGATTCTTGTATGAAAGATATTTGATTTTCGTTCGGTGCATATATGGAGACTAAGGTGACCATGTGTTCATCGATGAGGCCTTTTGACAGCAACCCATGACATCCTTTCATTGTGCCTGTCGGCAAGTGACAACCAAGCAGGTC